CGTCACTGAGGCCAGGTAGTCAACAACATGGTCTTCGAAGTCCTCAAACCTGTCATATTGGGCAACGCTCGTGGACATTTCCACGACTGCCGGACAGGGTTGTGAGCACCAATCGACACTCCATGGTCAGTTCACTCTCCCTTGATGAGTTGTGACTGGAGACACTAGGGGTCGCCATCGGCTCAGGCTTGCGCGAGATGTCTCGGCTTGTGGACCTGTTTGAGCCAAGACAATGCTGCCGCTACAATACAGCCACGAAGACAACTTACTTTGTGCTCATCTCGTGCGAGTGCAAGGGACAGCTGCCTACCTGACAACGATGTTACTGCATGCAGGTTCACCTAACTGATGTATGCTGGCTAAGTAAGCATGAGATCTGAGGGGTTACAGCTCTTTAGCCCAGGACGAGTGCTAAGGCACTCACCCAGGGTGGACCCCACACCTGTAAGTGAGGGTACCCTGTCAGTAAAGCCCTTTGTGGAGCTCTTCGTCAAAGGCATCCGAGTCCGTATCGCCCGGTGGGAGCAGTTCTATCCAAGACTCTCGCTCGAAGTTATCACACATCAAAAAGGTATTGTCCTCCGCTTGTATTCCCCTTCCTGAGTTTGCTTCATCTAGCTTTGTGAAGAGTGTGGCAGGCACTGACATTAAAGTTGTAGTGCCAGTGAGTATACATCACCGATGGGACATGCTAGAGGACTACCTAGTGGAAAATCTACCGGCGGTCAGTAACTTAGACACTTTCGGATGTGAGCTTACCCTGCTGGACTCGCGCACTCAACAGGCATTGTGATCCAATCCAAGATACTCTCTGGGGCAACACTCACTTCCACCTGATTGTTCAGACATGTTTCCAAGAGTATGACTGCAGGGACCAAGTCCAAGGGGATGAGTATGAAGACTACCCCAAGGCTGTTTGGGTCCCATCAAATGCCACTGGAGTAGTCCCGGCCAAGGCTTTCTCATCGGTTGCGCGACTGCGGCATGTAGGTGTGGACCCCAGCATTCATACGATTGACCGAGAAGCTTGGCGATATTGCTACTCACTGCAAATTGTCAAGCTCCCTGACACAGTTGTTGCTGTGGAGTATGCGGCATTTCAAGGGTGTTTTGCCCTGACTATGGTCGAAATGCCTGGCTGCGTTGCCTTTGGCGTTCAACTCTTCTCTGAATGTTGCGCCCTGGAAAAGTGGGCATCATCAAAGAAGGTGCCAGCGAATTAGCCAAGGGAGCTGTGATTGGGCCATATGCTTTTGAAAGCTGCGCCAAACTTGAACAGCTGTCTCTGCCTTGCGCCAGAGCGGGACCAGATGCCCTTACCATGCCGTCCCCGCCTGCAGGGATTCCGCAAGGGTGCTTTCACTCGTCGGGCATCCTGAGTGTTACGCTGGGGGTGTACGCTGCGTATATAGGGCATAGAGCTCATGAAAACTGCAAGCAACTGATTTCGGTTGACATCTCCAACACCGTAGTTGGCACCCTTCACATGCATACTTTCTCGAGCCATGAAAGCACTGAAAGCTCAGATGCTGTCAGAACGCCAGCAAGAGAGGGCAGCGTGATAGGACTTCAGGTAGCTTGCAAAACCGCAAAACCGTCGGCAGTGGACCAGGCGACATGGGAGGCTCAGAGGAAAACCACTGTACCAGCTTACGAAAATGCCAAATTGTCGAAAGCTCGGGAGCAGCGAAGCCAAGTCCATGTAGTATTGAAAGTGCAAGGATCACGCCAACATGGGCATCTCCCCCCCCCAAGGGGAGGAGAGTGCATTGTTGCTGCAACTGTTTGCGGCGGTGACTCCGACACAGCTTTGCCACAGGAGTCACAGAAAGACAATGGTTCTCAATAGGCCAAGGAGGGACAACACTGGCTCATTGGGAGCAGCCTGTTGCAGTTTGATGCGCGCCAATTTGTGCAAAGTAGGTATGCTGTCTGCGAGCACTGCACAAAACTAACAGGTGTGAGTCTGCCACCCTGCCTGCGGGAAATTCAAGCGGAAGCATTTATAGGGCGCCGTGCCCTATGCAGTATTGTTTTACCGGATAAGCTTCGATACATAGCGCACAGGGCGTTTGGAGAGTGTGGTCAGTTGTCTTGCTTACACTACCGTAGACTTGTACGGACTACTTGGACGCGCCCATATGCCGCCCACAATGCTTTCGAGTCGTGCTACAGGCTTGCAATCCCTTGGTGGCTTCACTACATACCCCCAAATGGGAGCGATTGGATGGTGCCGCCAAGTCACCATACCTAACTGCATCATCCTAGTAGTTGCTTTAGGGCAAACTAGGGCGGTTACCTATGTCACCGTCCCTGGCTGCAGTCCAGAAGGCTCACCGCATTGTGATTTGGCTAACCCCTGCTCGTTTCGTTGTCCCTTTTCATTTTCAGGCTCAAGCAGTGCGGGAAGCAAAGGCGCCCACGCAGAAGGTCTGTGACTTCCTGAGATGTTAGGAGAAATCTCATCTCAAGACAGTACACCCGCAAGTGCAGAACGATCAATTGTGCTTCACCTGATCCTGGTCACCTTGGCCGGTGATGAGATCCAACTGCCAATCGAACTACAAGAATTTGATCGCCTCAATGAATTCGAAAATGCGGTACTCCCACTCATAGGAACGCACAGCACTTTTGATGTGAGCTAGATTTCCTCAGCAAGGACACCCGGAAAATCTTAGTTGACCCTATTTGGGACACCCTGCAAGAATGCAACTGCTTCGACCTAATTGTTCGCCAGTGCTTCACCCAGGCGGAGCATAAGGGGCAGTTGCGGCGCAGAGTTAAAGCCATCTTAGTACCCTCGGACGACGCTGACCGAGTGCTGCCTCATGCCTTCTCGCATGTCTCAGACATTCGACATGTACGCGTGGAAGCAGGTATACACACTATAGGCGAGGCCGCCTGGCAAAGTTGCCCACGACTCCAAATAGTTAAACTGCCGAGCACTGTTGTCTGTCTACAGGACGGTGTCTTTCAACGAAGCTATGCACTCAGAGCGGTCCTTGCCCCAGGGTGCAAGCAGTTTGGACGCAGCGTGTTTGAGGAATGCTGCTCTTTGTCCCAAGTAGGAGCTGCTGAGGACACAACCAATCAGCTTGCCCCTCAGGCTCAGGTCTCTCCGCATGCCTTCGAAAGATGCAGTGCACTTCGGCAGGTTAGCTTCGAAAAAACTGAGGTGGACCCTACGAATTTAACACGTTGCTTACCCCAGGGCTGTTTCCTGGGGTCGGGAATTGCCCTTTTGGACCTGCCACCTGACTTTAATTTCGTAGGACCAGCTGCCTGTGAAAACTGCAAGCGGCTGCAACGAGTTGATCTCTCCCGTACTGATCTGACTGCGATCTTGGGGGCAACCTTTGCGCACTGTTCGCACTTGGAACAACTTAGTCTTTCCAAGAGACTACGGCGTATTGGACAAGAAGCTGCGTGAAGTGCATACCCCTCCAGCTTTGTTATATATTGCCCACCGGGCATTCTCTGGATGCACACAACTTAGCAGGCTTCACAAAAGGGAAGACAAAACGACATGGAGAGGACCATATGTCGAAAGTAGTGCTTTCGAGATGTGCCACAAGTTCGACATGCCAGGATGGATTAATCTTCTACCGCCGAATCAAGGCAGCAGTACGACTTTCGAGGCTGAAGATTTTTATTACGAACTACGCAAGGACCCACACTGATGCTGCTAGCTTGACAGGCTGGCACCCAAGTGTCGGTCCTGCTTACGGCATTTTTGACGCTCGATGATCTTCTGTACAGCAGAACAGCGTAGCTAGACAGTGCCCAGGCTGCCACCCTAGTGTCAGTCCTGGATGAGTACAAAGAGTACAGGCCTGCATGGCAAGTGTGACATAGGATAACGGCGTTTCACCCTGTCTCACCTAGATTGCGGGGCCAAATCGGTGCTCAGCGAACTGCTCCCAATGAGCCACTAGTTTGTCCCTCCTTGACCTTTTGGGAAAGGTTGTCTTTCTGTGACTCCCGTGGCAAAGCTGTTTTGGAGTCACCGCCACAAACTGAAGTAGCATCAATGCTCTCTCCCCCTTGGGGGGGAGTTGCCCCAGTTGGCGTGACGCACGCGCTCTCAACACCACATGGTTTTGGCTTCGCTGCATTCGTGCTTTCGACGATTTGAAGTTTTCGTAAGCTGATACAGTGGTTTTCCTCTGAGCCTCCCATGTCACTTGGTCTACTGCCGACAGTTTTGCAAACATGAAATCCCATGATGCATGCTTCGATTGCTTCGATTGCTGTTGTCAAGCACCCCTGAGCCTTCAATTCTCGCAACACGGTGCTTGCCCAAAGTGGTCTCTTTCAACAAGCATGACACTTCGGCTAAAGTGGTCTCCAATCAAAGGAGTCGAACTGTCGCTGGTATGCTGATCAACAACCCCTTGTGGTGATGACGTACTGAGTGCAAAGGCAGAATTCATCGCCCCGGTCTCACCTTCTCTCAATTTGGCTGACTTGGCCGCTCGAGTTGCGCACCAGGTGCAGTTGTTTTTTTTTGGGGGCTGGTTTTTTGGTTTGTTCTGGTTTGGTTGCTGTTTTGTTTGGGGGTTTGTGTTTTGGTTCTCTGTTTCGTTGCTTGGTGTTTCTTCTTCTACTGCAACTGGATTGTAACTCTCTTTACTAGCATAAGATGACCTGTGCAACCTCTGCACACATGGCGTCTCCACCCGTGCAAAAAAAAGGGCGCAACATGCGCAAGAATTAAGCAGCTCCAGGACGAGATGACGAAGAAGTTCGTTAGCAAGGTTCACACCCTTGCGGTGAAGCACCGCTGGCCCTGGCCGGAGCGGAATGATCAGAGAAGTATGGGGGATGCGAGTAACCAGAACCCATGCAGTCCCATGGAACCCCCACTGATCTGATCATCTCGTTGCAGCTTGAGGGAGGGTTTAAAGAGGCGCGGAAGGTGGGCTGTTTGTTAGTTGCCGGTAGGTGGCAATTCCGTCGTGCACCAGGGAAACGCCGTCCGCGCCACGCGGCGGGAACGCAGGTCGTGTCGGCCCGAGCGGTTCCGCCTTCGGCGAACGGGCGGAACGCGAACGCGGCGAAAGGCGAACGCGGCACGGGGAACGGGGCGCCATGGGCGGAGCAATCTCACCATGCGTGGAGCTCGAGGCGCATTCTGGGGATGTGGGGGGGCAAGTGGGGAGGGCAGTGGGGAAGATGAAGAGGAGTTGAATTGCAAGCGGACAGACTGAAAGTGGGCGATTTTCAGGTTTTCTCGGAGGTGTTCAACTTGAAGGATGCTTGACTTGAGGTGGAGAAGAAAAATACAAGGACCACTCCGGAGGTTTAAAAACGATTTCCTTTGATGTTCAAAAGGATTTCTCTTTCTTGCCTTTCTCGTGCCAGTTGCACCAACTTGTCCACTTTTTATAGCTGAAGCACCCCCATGTGCCCGGAGTAGTACTTGCAGACTTGCGGTGATCATGAACTGGTGCATCCTAGGATTAAAGATATGGGATCATATGGGCGTGCATTAAAATAGTCCCGAGACCAGAGAAAGGACATGTCGACCAGTCTACCTGGCTGGGAGGTCTCCCTAGAGACGGCACACGCACCCATCTATTGAAACCAACTGAGAGACGGCGCGTGGCATCCCCCCGCCTCGGGACGTTCGTTCGGATGAAGAAGGCCGCGCAACGGCACAGCTCGCAGGAGGAACAGTACAACATGAACCATCGTATGGATTCCGTGGACGTGGTGAACGAGGCGTGAGGGGGAGGCAGGGGGAGGCTTCGCCAGCCGGATCCGGTGTTTCTTTTGGACATCCAGTACACCGAGAGAACCCGGAAGTACAACAGGAATGGAACAAGTTGTTGATTGAATTTTGTGAGCGTGTGTGCTTCGATGAGGACCAAGGAGAGAATACAGGGGGATGTCGCAGAAATGGATCACAAAACCTAGACCTAGTATGCTTCTGCTGAAGGCTTCTTTGCATACGCCGCTTGATGGAGAAAGAGAGCTCAGAATCCAGTTGGACAGGACCAGAATGTAGAGAAAGCCATGTGGGACGCTTTAAGTTATACTCCCTCATTATGGGAACTATGGATGGCAAAATGGCGCCTGAGTTCGGGATGTCCATAAAATCAAACAGATGATTCTTCCCCCTCCCATGACGGGAGTCTTTGATTGGACGTAGATTGGACTTAGATTGCACAGGGGCAAAAGGGGCCTTTCAGGGATTGACGTTAACCGTCCTTTTTTTGGTTTTAATCTTTTTGCATGGCTGGGGTCTGGGGATCTGGCCTCGATTCCCTGCACCTCTCTTTTCCCCTGTTCCGAGAAACCCTTGATTGTTGAAAGGAGTGTCAATGATGCTGTTGGGTGGGAGTATGGTGATGCAAGCTGTTTCAACAAAACTATCCAAGAATAGTTGTAATGTGCCGCAAGAGCTGAAGCTGTATGTTGATTTGATGCACAAACCACATCACTTTTCACATGAACAGACCGAAGAACCTTCTAACACTCTTTTCCGGCGTTTTGGATTGCTGATTGGGCCTATTACACATAAAGATGCCTCGTCCAACGAAGTGAGAGGGAGATTCTTCGTCCCCTTTGCATCCCATGTTCTCCGTTTTTGCACAAACGCCGCATGTGGAGAGGTGACCACTGGCGAGTACAAAAACGTGGAGGCGTGTTGCGCTGACCACCGGGGGCGAGCGCTGACCACCGGGCACGAGTTTGGAAGTCGCCCTGTCACGGCAGAGTTGGAGGAGTTTGGAGGATGGCGAAGCTGAAGACGCAGACCTCAACGCCATTCGTGCTGCGGTCTGTTTGTTTTATTTTTTTTTTCTGGGGAAAAAGGATGTGTTTGATGACCTTTGCCCTGACCTGTTGGGCCCTATGTGCTTCATTGACGCCGCCATGCCGTTTGTTTTTTTCCCTCAATGCTCTGAAACCACTTTCGGCATGCTTGGGGCCATTCATGTTTCCCTTTAACAGAGGATACTCTCCGACGAACACGTCACATGTAAGTGAAATGAACACATCAGGAGCCACATGGTCGGCCGAACTGCCCTGCCACTTCCATGAGATGTGTTCGTCAGAGTGTCTCCCACTCAGAAACGTCGAAAAAATAGATCTCCACCAAGAATGGATTGGACACTGTTTCTATCCATTTGATGATTTACAGCAGAAGGACGACGATCTTTTTACTAGCTATGCAATTAAGTGGCAATCACTGATCAACAGTTCCGGTTCCGGTTCCGGTTACTTGTTCTCTCAGTTCTCGTCTCTTAGATCGGTCATGCGACCCGGTGACGCTTCTGGAAAAAACACTGATCTCAACTCTGAAAAACAACCAACAACTATCCAATCACAAACAGTCAATTGCACTACCCTGTCCATGCCACATCTTCCATGCCATCTCTCTCTCTCTCTCTCTCTCCTCCACAAGCGATCGGTTTGTCGTGCAGGCGAGCGATCCCATCTTTCAGCAGGGCCCACAAGCACCTCTCTGTGTCGGGCACCCCGAGCGACGACACCGACGACCGGCCGTGCGGCGCGTGCCGTCTGCTGCGGGGCGGTCTTTGGGTCTCAGATGCCTTCACGTTTGGTCTCGCGTGTGGCACAGAAGGCGAACGAGTTCTTTTTTGGGGGGGCGCTATGGGTGACGGCGAACGAGGTGGAGAGGTGAGAGGTGGTCTGCGTGCCGTGGGGGGTGCGTGCGTCGTCACGCGGTGGGGGAGGTGTTTGAGCACATCACCAAGGTGCTGGGCCAGTGTGTTGGGCGGTGCTTTTGGTTGGGCGGTTGTGACGGTGTGCGTTTTCGGGCCGCCAGTCGAAGACGAGACCCGCCGAAGAGGGCTGAAAGACTGGAGAGAGTTTGTGTAGGTCTGTTGTGTAGAGGTTGCCAGACTGGGTGCATGCGGGGATGACTGGGTAATCACTTGAAGCCCAAACTCACGAGCTGAGTTGATCCCTAGAAGAGTCTTTCCTAAAAGCATGGAACCCTTGACGACAGAGATCGAAGTAGTTGCCCAGCTGGGTGCTTTGGGGAGAACAGGGGGAAGGTACAGCTAACCTGACTCCAAGACCAGCGACTCCCCGAGCGACTCCCGGTCCCCCGCGGTGGGGCGAGGGCCGGGCCGCGCCACGACGTGACTTGCGGGTCACAGACGGTTGTCTCAGCCTCTCGATTTGGAAGCAACAGAGACAAAGACTCGGAGGCCCCGTCTCTAAAGAGTGTTTTGTTGGGAAGAAACACATCCTCTGTTCAACTGAAAGTCTCAGGAGCTTGAACTCAACCGGTGGCGCCCTGGAATGATTGTCTTAGGTTGGTGAGGGATGGAGCTGCCAGTTGCCAATGCCCTCACCCCTCCCCACCTCATCCACCAGTGAAGAAGGAGGGGGGCTGGGATTGCTTTCGAGAATGCAAATCTGTTCTTATTCTGAGCGTGCTGGTCCAAACTTTGCGCCGAGATATCAAAGACAGAGATGAGTAGCTGATTTGGCGACCCTTCTCATGTTTCCACTGGTTGTTCCTGGACCTTGTGCGCACATTGACCATCGGTCATTACCTGGTAGTTCCTCCACAAGAACTAGGTCTTCGGATTTGGTCAACACATTGTCAACACCAGTTTTCCATGGGAGGACTAGTTCTTCTAGAAGGACCTTCACCAGATCGGTCCTGGTAGACCTGCGCCTGTTTTCCTCTTTTCCGCGTCCGACGTCCGTCCCGACGTCCGTCCCACGTCGTACCGGCCCTACGTCCTGTTTGCTTCGGCAGGATTTGAGGAACATTCCGGCCGCCTGTGTGCCCGAAAGGATGTCAGGACTCACCGACCAGGAGAGGTGGCGGGGCGACTGACGTGCGTAGCGTTTGGGCCGATGTTGGGACAGACACAGACTGCCGTCGGCTCCAGAGGCTCCAGAGCTAGGCCCGCTAGGCCAATGTTTGTTGAAGTTTGGTGGCAGGGGTTTACGGGTTTGGGGTTTGGAGGCTCTTTTTTGGGGGTAACTTGCCACAAACTCGACCGGTGCTGGTCCATGCTGCTCCTGATCTTAGACTCCATCACTTCGAGGCCTTTGGAGCTTGAGAAGCTCGGGTCGGCGAAACACACAAAGGAAGGCCCGGTAGTTTCACTAATGGATCGTTTTGGTTGGTGAAGTATCGCCATCGTCTGAATGTCCTTTCTACACCATGTGTTTCCGGTGACTCGCCCTGTTGAATCTTGGGAGGAATCTGATTACTGAGAATTTCTGTCGCAAGAGGTGTTTACCTGTTGTTTGAACCTTTAAGCTTTGAACCCTGCTATCATGTGTAATTTATTGCGGTGTTTCGTTTTGCCTGATCAATGATGATCACTGCGCCTTCTCCAATTTCCTAGAAAGGTGCACGTTCACTCTTTGTCATGCTTTCTTTTGCTTCCTTGTCGCTGATGGTGAACATCATCGGCTCCGTTCGCTGATGGTTTTTCAGGTGCCTTGTCTTGATGTGTCCGGTCCTCCTCCGAGTCCTCCTCCGAAGCCAGTCCGAGACGACGTCGCGGTCCGAGACGACCGGTCTGAGTCTTCTTTAAGGGGGAATTTGCAGGTTTAAGGGGGAATTCCATGCCAGAACTCTGATGATGGAACTTGGATTCACTGATGTGGATGTCTTTTTCTTTTGGAATTGGATTGGTTGAAACCGATCACTTCGGGAAGGCTTTGGCCGACTTCGTCTTCGGCCGACTTCCGGGTGTCCCAATTGGACGGCCGTTCGGTTCTGGAACATCGCACGCGAAGCACCTGGCGAGGGCGGAGCGGATTTGGTCGGGGGGGACACCCACCGGGAGCTCAGAGACTCGTTCGGCACCGCTTCAGCCGGTGGTCGAGCAGAGCCGGAGGTCGAGCGGGGGGCACTTCTCAGGGCTTCCAAGCCTGTGAAGAATTTGGAACTGGAGGGCGGCACTTCCAGACTCGGGTTTTGTGCCCAAAAAAAAACGGTGACGAGACGAATCGGTCAAGGCTGAAGGGTCTCATCACTCTTTTTGAGATGGAAAGGCCTGAAGCTAGGCCCCATCCTCGTGGACCCGGGCCCTGGTTATGGGAGATACCCAAGGTATGCCATGAAGATCGACGGCCGGACGCTTTTCCGGCAAAAACCACTTTTTTCCGGTGAACAGCGACCCTGTTTGGTGCAGGAAGTAGCAGATGTGCGGCTGGCTCAGGTGGGTGGCGGAAGGAATCCGTGGGGATCGGAGTGATCGGAGTGTAGAGGTCCACCAGTAGGTCCACCTACAATCAGGTGATGCAAGACTCATGTAGACACTTGATGATGTTTCCAAGCTTCCCTCCCCAGCCTGAAGAGGTTTTGAATGTGTTTTGCAATCTCTGCCTGCGAGGGGGGGGTTTTCAATCATCCGAAGTCGGTGACAGGGTTCGCTCGCGGAGGACTCTCACCGGAGGAGTCAGACCTGAAACGTGAGACAGGACGTTTCGTGTCTGGACCCAGGGGGGAGAGAGACGTAAGTTGGTTCAGTGGATAGGGGATTTGCTTTGACCGATCTAGATTCCGGATCTGGACCCTCAACCAACGGGACTCATTTGGAGGCTCCCCTCTCCCCCCCAAAAATCAACCATCACCTGAGATGGAGGGTGAAGGTCTCCAACCCTCCCCCTGCGGCAAAACCCTTCGGTGTCGGGTCCCGGGATCCAGTGGTGTCGGGGTCTTTTCAACCACTTTGGAATGCGAAGGGAAGCGAGGCATTCTCGTCTCTTTTTCCAGATCAAACAAGCACCGCAAAGAGTCGTCGTTCAGCACCGCAAGGAGTCGTTCCCCACAGCCAATTGCTTGAAGGAAGTGATGACTCGGAGGGTTTGGGCGGCGGTTCTCCGGATGAAAGGGACTGGGTTGAAACTGGGCTGGCACGCCTTGGTGTGGGGTGTGGGCCCCACCCATCCGTCGCCTCCTTCAGTGCAGGCTGCAACACGTGGAGAGCTGAAAGATATTGAGCAAGCGCTACGTGGGGGATGCCCAGCATGGTAGCATTGCAGGAGAGTTGCAGATGGGGGGAACTGGCTTTTGGGGTTCCAAACTTGAGAAGAACTATCCTCTGCTTATATTGGAGTCAGGTCGGGGAGAGGAGGATCAAATCTGATCAAGGTCCTTTTCTTTGTGTTTTTGATTGATGCGAGTATGGCTTCAAGACCCTTGGCCCATGGCCCGTTGATGAGTAAAGGAACCCTGGCCTACTTGGTCACAAGACCTGCAAGACCTGCGGGAAGCACCGAGGTGGTGCCCTTGAAACTGCGGGCACCGGACGTGGAGCTCAAACAACATGACCGTGGGGGGCGGCGAAGAGAGCAAACCACCGACCCAACCACCCCCACAAAAACCTCCAACAACGTACCCATCTTTTTTTGCAACATCTCTTCCTCCTCTTCCTCCTCCTTCTCCTCTCAAAATGTCCACCACGTAAGCACCAACCGGCAGTCCGCACGTGTTCGGAGCTCCGTCCGGTGCTTCAGGCGCGGGTGCTCGCGTGGACACGCGCGCCGAGCTGCACATTGCCATGGGCCGCTCGTCTTCGGGTGGGGCCGGAGCCCCTGGAGAGGGTGGCAGAGGCTTCTGGCCAGGAATGCTGGCCACATCCTTCGACCAGGTGCACTGGCACGAGGCTTCGCCCATCTCATGCACTGGCCGGATTCGGGACGTGGTCGGCTTCGGGCGCCACGTGCAATCCAAAAAGGTTGTTGATTCGTGGATATTTATACTTGGACCGGCGCTTGAGCAGGGTGCAGATCTTTTCCACCTCAAGGTTGACACGTGTCAAGCCTTGAGTTCTGAGAGAACACATGATGGTTGCATTTCCGTGGGCAAAACGATCGTTGCATTGCAAGTGGGTTCACTTCACAAAGCAGTCATCTTGGGCTGCTGTGTGTTCACAGCTCCCAGTATCAGCCCAGCAGGGGAAGAAACAAGAACGCACCTTGAAAGCTTATCATCCTACAAAATCCCACTGAATCCTATCTAGAATCACTAGAGTCCTACAGTATTTGAACACACACACACACACACACCAGTTCACCCAGTCGTATCGACCCCTGACTCGACACCCCGAAGCGTTTGATGTGGGTTTAGTGCCTCGCCCGATTGGAAGGGATCGAAGAAGAAACCACCTCACAGCAGCTGGAAACGTGCTCTTGAGTGAACGAGACCCAGGCGATGCCAGTGGAAGCAAGCCCGGCAAGCGGTCGCTCTGGCGGAACGGGCAGCGTGTTCCGGGGCGGGCAACGAACCGTTCCTTCGTCAGAACGGTTCTATTCCGTGGAACCGCATGGCACTGGTGGAATTCCAACCCAACCCAAAAAGGAGAAGAACCGTAGTGGGCCGCAGGGTTTTCCGAGTCGATGGCGGATTCCACCCCAGGTTCCTGGAAGGGGGGGCCACCCAATTCCTTCTTCAAACATCGCCTGTGAAGCAGGACTGGTTTGGATGGGGATTCTTCCAATGATACTTTTTGGGGCTTTGTGTCCTCTACTCTGAAGACCGCGTTGTTGGTGTTCACGGTCTTCCCTCTACCCTGGTCCTCCGGTTGTCGGGGGGGGGGGGTCCCTACGCCAGGGCCTTGGCCCGTGGCCGTCCAGATGTTCGGTAGTAGATAGGAAGATCATCTGCAGCCCAAGGTTCTTTTTTAGTTTGGGTATAGGTCCTGTGAAGCGTTTTGGGAGGGCCTGGCCGGCCTGGCGGGGGAATGTATCCTTTTCCTCAGATGGCCTTTGCGAAGGTGAAGGTTCTTGGAGGCCTTCAGGGATGAGACTCTGAGGGAGTCACAGCCACCCCAAATGGTTGGAAGAAGCCCGAACGCTTGGTGGAATTCAATCGGCCCAAAGGACGAGCTGGTGAGGGAATGTTTGGGTTTGGGAAGGCCAGTAGGTAGGGTAGAAGTAGAAGGATAGTGGATGTGTAGTGGCAGATGATAGAAGGTTGCAGTACCGGGGTGCAGCCAGAGACTATTGGATCTGAAGGAGCGCAGGTTTCAGTTCCTTTTTTCCTTAGACATGTGGGCTGTGGGCTCTGGGACAGTTGCGCCAGTCATAGCTTGTCAACAACGCCGGTTGTCCCTCGTTGTCCCTGTTCCTTTGTCCAAGCGGCCCCATGGAACAGACTCCCGTGCTCGACGTCCAACGACGGCGCCGACGATCCTGGCACCACCAAAGAAACGGACAGGCCTTGGACTTGGTGAGGAAGAATCACCAGCTACAAAGCTCTCACCGGGCTGGTGAAAAAACCCTTTCGGAAGGTCCAACCTTTCCACACCTCAAGGCTCACCCCACCTGCCCAGTGACGACCGAGGACTCCCTTGATGCGTGCTGCCGCCAGTGGACATCTGGAGGCCCGGTTCGACCGGTGTCGAAAGAAAGCAGGTACGTAGACTCATCTTGCAGATCTTGCAGACTCTTGATGAGATGTCAACCCCACCTTACAATCCAAATGTTGTTGTTGTTGTTGTTCTTCTTCTTCTTCTTCTGTGATATCAATAGTCTACATGAGTGGTGTTAAATAGCTCCAGCGGGTTACTTGGGGCAGCTGCTGCGGATATCTGTCAGTGTCGCCCCGCGCAAGTCACTTAGCGGTGTTGTGGCGCGAAAACAATTGGTGGAAAGACAGCGGTTTGGGTGGATGTTTGGATTTTTTGCATATCCATATGGTGGTAAGACCATCACTAGAGGATGATTTTTGAGCTCAGGCATATCCATTGGTTTTGAGGAGGACCTTGGTCTTGTTCTTCAGATCCTTTCAACGGCTCTTAAGCGCTCAACTTCCATTGAAATACTTGGAAACCCAGTCCCAACCAGAAACAAATGTTTGGAACCCAATATGGCTTTCTTAAGATCCTCTGCACAGTAAGTGACTGGCTGGGAGACTTCCATCAGACGGGGAAACTTCCCCCCAGCGAATGAGTCTCACCAGGCCCTGGTGGCAGGTCGTAGCAGGAGACCCACCTGCCGCAGGTGTGAAGAAGTCCACCGCACCGGTCGGAAGGACACCCTAAGGACACCCTCCCTTCAATTCGAAGTCCCTTGACCGAATTCGGAGCACCAGTCCGACTCGTTTCCGTGACTCGTTTCCGTGACTCGCTCGTGTGCAACTCTCCAAACACCGCACGGGAGGCCCCCGCTGTTTGAAAAGGAGTTCAGTCGTCCACCCGAAAAGGGTCCCTGACCTGAGCAGTTTCACCGAAGCGCGTTCGACCTGATCAGACCGACCACGATCCAAGGCCGCCCACCCAATCAGCCGATCCAAATGAGAAACAATCTGATATATCTGGGGCTCTTGTCAAACTGGACCCCTTCCCTTTGCGACACGCACATCCACCGCGGCCCGGCGAGTAGTGGTGGTCCCTCTCTCTCTCTGCCGCAGTGCACGACCTGCACCGTGTGCGTCGGGAGTGCACAGCAGAGCGCCAGGTGGTGAAGACCTTGATCCGCGCGGGCGCCAGCATTTGGCGCGTGGACAGCCGAGGCTGGACGTCCGGGCCGCCCAAGGGGGGAGGGTGGTGAGGTCGAGGAGGGTGCTGTGGACGTATCGGCAGGTGCTGGTGCACAACCCTGGTTCCTGGTGACCTGGTGCTGTGGACAGTTTGGCAGGAAGGACATGAAGGGCTGGTTGATCCAACATACATGGGGCTCAACTTCGATTCTAGGTGGACATTGCTACCTAACAAGGCCAACAAACCGGTTGTCCCACCGCCCCTCGAGCTTTGAACTCGGCTCTAGCTGGTCCAATGAACAATGCACGAAAAATGCGCCTCTTGCGGCCCCCTGGAAAACCTGGAAATGAACCTGCTAGACTCTAGATGACTCTAGTCTCTAGACCATCCTCATCAGGGTGTTTTGGTGGAGGAAGGGTGTCGATACTCCTGCCCCTATGAGCTTACTGGACAAGACCAACAACACCCGTTCGGACTCATAATTCAGGGAGAAGTGCTTTGTACCGTTGTACCAGGAATCATCCAGCAAACCTTCAGGCCACCAGCTATCATCCACCGTTTGGTCACTCCTGATTGGTTTGCACCCAGTTCTTCAACAGGACGACCCCGTTCCTTCACACCTTTTCTCCTGGGTCGTCCGTCCTGTTGAAAGCTGAAATGCCTTTGAAACTGGGCCCAGACCTCGCAGTCTCTCCAAAGGGGGCTTCTCTGGGATTCTTGGGTCCTGAAAACAGCAGCGAGGATTCCCACACTAGACGACACTTGGACACCAAGAAGCCCATTTTTCAGTTTGTTTCAGAACTATTCCGTCAACCAGTCTTTTGAGGATTGATGTATTGCGACACAGTCGCAAGTGGCTGGCCCACGGTACTGGCTTGGTTCCCGGTCGTGGTTGGCCAAGAAACCTATTGCATCATTGAGCAGTTCAACAATTAGGTTGCACATGTTCAACACTTGGATAACGTGGACCACTTTGGATGACAAAACTCTTTTCCCTCCCTGTATACCATGTATTTCAGGGACTGGACTCCCAAAGATTTCATACTCTTCATCAAGAAACCCATAGGAAGTAACAGAGTCTAGATGACAGAGATCCACAACACCTGGTGCATTCAGACTCTGAGGAACCTCACAGAAAGGACGACACTCGTGGGCCCGTGGTTCACCACTCCACCGGGACGCACGGACACGGACGCGACACGGACACGGACGGTCTCTAACGTCGTCGTCTTCGGATCCTCCAGCATCCGAGGGTGCCAGGCCCATCCAGGGTGGGTTCAATGGGGTTCCCAATGCAGTTCCCAATGGGGTTCGGAGTCAGTACTTCTTTTGAGGCCAAGCCTGCAAGGACTCCGCCACAGGCCAACGACACCAACGACTCAGGGCATTGCTCGCTAGAAAGACTCAAAAGGTGATCTAGAAGTCTAGCTGATGAAACTGATGAGACTTCCAAAAGTAAAGAGATGGCAACGTCGTTGGCTGTTTTTGTGCGGCCAACTCGACCATCTGTGACTTGGGATTCCATCCGATCGGCTCTGAAAACACCTCGGAGACCAGACACGGCTCACTGCACGGGGCAGACCAGACACGGAGAACTGCCCGGAGGTTTCTCCGACGCGTTTTTGGTTCAAAACACAGGCGCTGTGTCACTGGGAGAATCTCTTGGTCAGCTACAGACATGGTTGTCAACCCCAGAATTCTGGCAGAGAAGTCCCTTTTTTGCATCAACTGTGAGAATCCTTGGCCTCATGTTCCAAAGGAACCTCTTACCCTTGCACATCTCACCTACGAAAGGAAACCCAACCCCTCAGACAGAAGTCGAGCCTTTCACTTTCACCTATGGCATATGGTAAACTGTTTCTCTTACTCCTGAAGGAGCTCCAAGAACACCGGGGATCTTTGGATTCACACATATCGCAATTGTGTGTGATGTTTGTAACAATCCTGCAACAATCCTTTTCCACCCATAAATTTGTCAAGAGCATTGCTTTGCTCAAGTCTCAACAGCCAAAGTTCACTCGCCCCCTGAGCGTGAACGATGGCGGTGATTTATGTGCAGACTGCGGCTTGACTCTCACTTTAGCTCCTGTGTGGAGTCCTGTGTGTTGAGTCTGGGGTTGATGCTATACAAGTTTTGATGTGTGAACTGAGCTTTCTGTAGAGATTCTTTTTTCTAGCGGGAACGTGGTGCCTCTTGCGGCCTTTCTTGGAGTGGATTTTACTTCGCAAGCGGCACCTGCTGAAGAGTGGGTTGAAACTGAGATCCAGAAAAACAGCTTCCATGAGCATCCGGAGTGCTTCTTTGGATGGACTTGGGATGTACCCGAACCCACTTCTTGCCTGAGGTTGTCAAGGAGCGAAACTACCTTGACAAGTGGTAGGTCGCAACCTACAGGCGTTGAGTTGGAGTACTACACTTGATCATAGCCCTCAAGGCCGAGAAGCATCACCCCGCAGTTGACAGATTTTCCAAAATGGGCGCGTGGGCTACCAACATAGGGCATGCCAAGATCATCAACCATTGCTACAGAAGACATCCACAAAATACGATATATATTTTTTGCAATTGTCCATTTCCCATTTTCCATCCCAAAGAATGGAATGGCATCCAACATACCATCCCCCGCAGCTCAACCCCCTCCCAAACCAGAAAACCATCCCGGAACCCTTCCCCGGTGCCTTTTTCTAGATGAGACCCAGCGGCTGGGTCTCGCCGGAGACCCGGTCCGACCCGAGCCGGACCCGAGGTGGGCATGAAGTACAAGAGCTCCTTACCGGTGTCCATGACCTCAGTGGACAGGGCTGATCGGATCTGGCTGATTGTCGGGCTGACCGGATCGGGTCCTGACCGGATTCTGCTGGTCCGGCTGGTGGTGGGTGGTTTTGGAGAGTGGAGAGCGTGGTCTCGTTTTGTGAGCACGAGCTGTGACGGTCCCACCCTATGGACCCTGTATGGACCCTATGGTTTTGGGCGCCCGAAATGTCCGATCTCCTTTTCATCTACTTGTAGCAGTGGTTTTTCAGGGTCAATGTGGGTCTCGAAACCAGGGCGGACAAAGGTCGCTGTGGTGGCCTTTTGGTGAAACTAGGGAAAGACTTGAGGGTCAACCAACATCCCAAGCTAATACTTTCACAAAGCCTCGTAACGTAGAGAGCCAGGTGTTCAATGCAAGTTGTTGTCACCCAAGTTTTTGTTCCCATCGCTCCTTGAAGAAATCGGCCATGAAAACTCGGGAATTGGTCACATCCTCAGTTCAAATCCGTTGCGACCCACCCAGGAACCCCAGGAACGAGCCTCACGTGGACCGTCGACCTCGGTCGAGCATAGCGCAACGTCGACGGTCTCATGATTTCCCCTTGCCAGATGGAGGCCCTCGCAAGTCAGCAGTTGCAAGCCCAACGACACAAGAAAACCCCTCTGTCAAAGCTCTTGGCTCAGACTTGTTTGGGCGATATGAATATATGTTATGAGTGATATTGCGAAACCAAGGCTTCTCTTCGTTCCGTCCTGGAGCTTCGCTATTTTTCCACCTTTCGACTCCTTTTCGAGTGTTCTGTCCGACCGCCCTGTTTCACGTTGTTCGGGTCCTCGTTGAGGCCCTTGGAGGCGCTTGGGGACGCGCAGGTGGTGAAGGTCTTAGCTCTCAAGGTCACCGGGGTCACCGGGATGACGGGGAGTCAGGTGGCGTGACCATGCGAGAGCACCGGGGTGGGAGAGCACCGGGATCCCTGAGCTGGGAGAAGGGAGAAGGGTCTAGTGGGTGCCAGTGGATTGGTGAAAAGGTGCAAGGAAGAGGATCTGAGTTCTCTGTTGAGATCTACAGATCTACAATGTGTGGTGTGTACAGGTATCAAACTAGGTAGAGCTGCCAGGCATCCCCACCCCCAGAAAGAAAATCGACCAGTCCACTCGGTCCCCCCTATTGAAACACACACCCGTTTGGTACCAGAGTGACACTGGCGAGGCGAGACACCTGTCGCCCGGCTCCATCTGGTGGTCCCACAAGGACCTGGTACTGAAACCACTGCATCTGCACTTGGCACTTGGTAGCTATTGAAGAGAACCATCATGCCTTGACCCTTGCTCCTCTTAAGGGAAGCCATTTTTCTTGGGATTTGTGGGTGGCAGGGTGATAGCGAAGGTCAAAGGTGGGCAGGGGGGTGCACCTCCTCATTCCGGGCTTGCAAAGTTTCCTTTACGCGGCTAGAAATTTCCTCATCCGCAGGGTGAACACAGGAGACTATTGTGACACGACTGGTCAGTGTAGTGTGGAATTGAAGTTTCCTCGTCAAACGTATTTTGGGATTCAGGTCCATCAGTAAACGTAGAGGTCAGTGGTCAAAGACCTACAGAATCTTTTCATGCATCAAGGTCCAACTAGGTCCAGGCGAAGAAGCCAGTAGAGGAGCAAGCCTCTCTGTACTTTCTCGGCTCTCTTGGATGGTCAGCGGTTTCGACCTGCCACCACCTGCGGCAGCCGATCCGATCCGAGTCGCTGGGCGCCCCAGGAGCAGGTGTGCGCACAGACCCGCATCACGCCAGTGAAACAGCGGATGGAGTACAAGGGGCGTGTGCTCAAGGAGAGCACCTGGAGTACAAGGGGCTGGGATGGGCTGGGAAGTTGTGGAAAATGACAGTTGCACTGCCAGACCTTTCAAAACCAGGTTGTTCTTTTGTTGAAGCCTGGGGAGATGATTGACCACTGAAGGCCTTCCATCGGCTGTTCACTGAGTTCCCTCACGTAGAGACTCTATCGGTCCCTTCAGTGGACTGTGGACTGAAACTCACATTCCGAGCTTCAATCAGGGTGTTGGGTGTGATGTTGATGTTGGGAAGTGACCCAAGATTCTTTGAGGCCCTTTCTTCCCTCTTGATTCTGGAGTCACCTGCACTCCCTTAAAATGCACCAAAACCATATCAACCTCTCACATTTTCAGACTGCCAAAAAGGAGCACTTCTCCCTTCAAAGGACCGAATCCGGCGAACCCAAAAAGCCCAAACACCCCAAAATGCCTGGAACGCCACAAGCCCCAAGGCCCCCAAAAGATGTCCGCCGCGCCCCTCTCCCGTCCTCCTCCTCCTCGCCCTTTTCGACCGCAACGGGGCTCCGAGCCTCACAGGACGAGATGACGTTGCAAGAAGCCGGGCTCTCCGAAGGAGGCCGAGCGGCGGGTTGCGACGGTCGGTCGTCGAAACGCGAAGAGGTCACGACCCCCGTCGTTGTTGAAGGACGACCCGGAGTCGGTGCCGACCCCCGTTGGGTCGTTTTTTGGGGGGCCCAAATCAACTCTCTTTGCCCTCAGGAAAATGCTTCCAGGCTGCGCCACTTGGAGGTTTTCGAGGTGTTTGAGTGCTTCGGAACATGGCCTCCGAAGGGATTTTGCCATGTGAACTGGACCGAAGCGAGTTCCCGTTGCGCCACTTCCTTCGGTCTCCTGAACCGGGTGCAGTTGGAGTTCGCGTTCTCCGCCGTGGCCCGCGGAGCTTCGCCAGGCCGGATCTTCATGGAAGCGCAATGTGCAGTGGGGCCCAGCTGGTCCGGTGGCCCCAGTGTTGCTGGAGATGGAGGAGGAGGGTGGTGGAGACCTGTCGAGGGGTGTAATGATTTTTGTTGGGTATACTGAACTGCTGTGATGTTATGTTTGTTAGTGAGAGACTTACCCGTAACATGGGCCCCAAGCCCGTTTCACATGGGGTTTCAGAGGGTCTGGGAGTTTCTGCAAGTCTGCAGATTCTCAAAGGTTCCTTTTTCACCCGCCATGTGTAGTGTAGACTCTTGATTAGGTTCACCCCCCAATCTTGAAAAGGTTTTTCAAGAGAGTGCTTTCTTAGGGATCCCATCCTTGTCGGTGGAGGTCTCGGTTGACGATCTGTGGAAGTTGCTTGATTATTTTTGCATATTTTTGCTTTACCCCTCTCCCTTTTGGATGGTAAACACCTCTGCAGTCCTTGGGGGGTTCTCTCAATGAGCAGCTGCTGCAGTACAGAACTCTTCTGCTTCGAATGGAAAGCTTCCTTCCATCCATCCAAGCGGCTTCCAGACACGTGGAAAGAGCCCAGAGGGTCTTGGCCATCTCGATCCACCCAACTCTTGGCCCTTTTGCATCTCGTGGCATTGAAGCGCCGGGAAAAGACGAGGTCATGGGAGTCTCAAAGCAACTCGACGAAAGGACAGACGTTCATTTTTTTGTTAAAGGCACAAAGAAATTAATGAAAGCACTCAAACCTCAAAACACGAAAGCCTCACGTTGTTCTGTGGTTGTGGTAGTTACGTACTTTATTTCTCTTTTTTGGAGGTCATTGGGAGAGGCATTTGAGCAAGAAAACCCACCACCGAGAAGCGAGGCCCAACTCCAAGTGAGGTCCAAGCGTCACCCGAGCAGCCAGGTTTTGGCACTGAGAGGCCATGGCGGCTGTGCCGCGCCATGCGCGATGCGCTGGCGCTCCTCATCGACTCCAAGGCGAACGGGTCAGGTGGTGTGTGGGCGGCAGGTGCAGTGGAGGTTGAGATTCCGAAGGAGGTCAATTCTTCGTTGGTGACCAGGTCACCAACCCCAGAAGCTTCCGCCACTTGACTCATGAACTACCAGGCCCTTCAAGAAGTCACCCTCCTTCACCAGGCTGGGAGGTCACAGGAGCCATTGCCCTGCACGGACGGGGGCTGAGCCACGGTGCCCACAGCTTCCAGGGTGGCGAATCCGTCGTCGAATCGAGCGGAGACGTCGGGGGTGGTCTTCGACTACCTGGTAATCAACAGATGCCCTTGAGCAATGGGCAGAGAGACATCAAAGGTCCAAGGCAACGGGTATGATCTACACTCCCACAAAATGTGTAGATCAAGTGGATGGGACAATGGCAGGGCCGTGAACTTTCACTTCTTCCATGTGAGCTGTTTTTGTTGACCATGTTTTCCACCGCCCAGCCGACGGTCCGGTGAATACGCTTTGGAGCTTTCAGAGGGTCGGTCCGAGGTTCCGTCCGAACGGGTCCGACGCGGCATTTGTTGGGCCACCCAGTCACCATCGCCGAAATCGTCGCGCCCGTGAGTCACTTAGACACCCCAATTCACCGGGCCCCGTTGTTTGGAATGCCAGCGGCCGTTTTTGGGGGTCATCACTGGAGGGTCTGGAGCTAAAGGCTACAGTGGACTGAGAGCTCATAGGGTTGGGCTGAGAGCTCAAAGTCTACTGGGAATGAACCGATTCCTCGATGCTCGGGATATCAACCAACCGCGCATGCATGCTTTGGTCTGTCGCGAACGAAACCGCGCTGGATCCTATACCGACACCGTCCGTTCTCACCGATCGAGAATAGTGCCATGCGCTGTGGTCCTACTCGGCTCAGGGCTCTGCTCTATCAACCTTAAGCAAGACTGAAGAGGGGCCCTGAGAAACCCTTACTGTACATATCCAAGATCACATCCACTTAAGAAGGAAATTGAACTCCAGGAAACCCTTGCAGGAACAACCTTCAGAGGCTCCTTCTTCGTGCTCTCTCCTCATATTCCTGCCCGCGCGTTCGGCAGGACGGCGCCGTGCACCGTCGATGGACCCGCCCACGCGGCCGAAAAAGGAGGGAGGGCGCGGAGAGATGGGGCAGATGCTGAGCGACGTCTTCCAATGGGGAGCGAGAGCGACGTCTGTCGGATGTTCGGGTTGGGTTCGATGACAGACTTGCAAGGCACGATTCTCGTGCTGTGGTTGGGCTGGAAGAGGAAGATCTGTGGTACTTTTGGACCTCCTAGATGATCTAGATTTGCCAATGAAAAGAAGAGGCGGTGAGGTCTCGCAGTCGATCCTTTGGAACGCTTTTTCTCGAAATAGCAATGGTCGATGCATGGCCACCGCCGGTCAGAAAAGCTGCAGTGTCTCCAAACTCGAAATCAGCGCCGAAATCAGAGTTCTCCCGGAGGGTGTAGCCATTTTGTTATATTTTGTACAGTTGATATGATAGGTTTCTTCAACATACTGTTGATGTTTGTTGCATGGAATGATACTGTTGGTGTAGACGTACGAGCAAAAAAGGGTCATAGCTCATGTAGATTCATGTAGTGTGAAGACCATTGAAGACCACTATGTTCAGCTCATGTCGTATACTATTCTATATCGGACTCCCCAAACTCCACCACTGGCGGCTTCTTGCTTGATCTCTCCAATGGTGATCCAGCTCCATTTTTTCTGTCCCCGAGTGTTTGTGACGGTGATGCCACGCGTTTTCCTACTTTTTTGTAGAAATCAAGAACCATAGAGGATAAGTGGAAGAAAGGGATACAGTCTGGACCTTGATGCTGGCTTTTGCCTGCAGCGGTTTTGGATAGCTGGTAGATCTGCATGATTTGGTTTCAAGGAAACTCCCACCTGTTTGTCTTCTGAGGCCTGTGTGCTATGCTTTGGCCAACGGAGAGTGCCGTGCCTGCAAAAGGGTCTTTTCTGGCTGACCAAAACTCCCAGAGAAACGCCCAACCGTTCAATGTTTGGCCCAACCTTTTGGTGTTTTCTTGGTGCGAACGGGTCATGAGAAAAGACCAGGAACACGCCGCGCGGCCGCGCGCAGGTCCAGTCCAGGGGGTTGGGAAGAGCAGAACGCCTCCACTTGAAGGGAATCCTCTTCTTCCCCACAGGGTTTTCACCTCCTTTGGGGGGAGCACTGACATATACATACAGACCATATACCAGTGATTCCAAAGGGGTGCGATCCATGGAGGATAGGGATGCCCAGAACATCCACTCACTTCGTGACTACAAACCACCCCTTTGTCGACTTCTGGTAGAGTCATATCATAGATACTCAACTGATAACATCATCTGACAACAGGTTCAGGTTCAACATCATCATTATAGTAATTTCTTATTTTTTCCCATCTCATTCTCTTTGAGGCACACCACCTGATCATGTCGACAGCGCCACTGGGCCATGAGGCCACCATACCGCTCGACCGCTGGTACCGACCGGGTCGACCAGAAGGGGTCGGACCCCCCCCGGCGACAGGTTAGATGACTGGTGGAACCCGCAGCTGATTTCGTTTCAATCGATCAAATCACGCATGATGATATCAGTTGTCATATATCATCTATACCAGCACCCGACGGACGACTCTACAGGTCTCTGAAATGGTGGCGACCTTTTGGAGACTTAAAAGGTGGCGGGTGGTGACCTGGCAGTGAGGGTGCTGGTATATACTATCTATCATATATCATGCATCATACATCCTCATTATATCACATATCACATATGACAATGTATCTTATCCCATGCCCAAGATCATCGTGTTAATTCAATCAAGAATGAGATGCCTGAGTTCTCCTTCTTTCATGGGACCACTTGGAGAATCTCTTCCCGAAGTGGAGCCGTTTCCCGGCCTGGGCTTAGGCTCGCGCTGGCGTATTATTTGCTGTCTGAAGCGGGGAATCATCGGGAGAGGCCGGGGGCGGCCGCCCCGGCCACGTGGTTCGTGGAGGTTCGTGGATGGCATGGGTCCCTTTGATCAAACAGGTGGTGAACTCCACTTCCGTGAGGATTTAGAGTGTAGCTTTGGTGACCAGTTTGTTCAACACTGGGGTGTGTAGCTCAAATAGGCAGACGCCCCAGCCAGACATTCTGGTCCAAATCCATCCGTGTGCCATAGTCTACCCATGGGGGCCTTCGGGGCGTCTCACGATTGAACGATTTGGGCGACCTCATCTAGGCTGTTTGATAGATCCTAGAACGCCCCCCAATTGGATTGTCAAATCCCTTCATCTGGGGTGTTTCATTCATCAAACACTCTACCGTCGACGTCGCTGTCGTTGCTCCGTGAGCGGTCCAAGCCGCCTTCCTCGTCGTTCCTTTTGCACTGCCGATGTCCATGGCCGTTCGTCGGCTCGCCGCGCTAGTTGGCTGGGCGACTGTTTTGGTTGGCGGATAGCCACCGCGTGGAGTCGAAGGAGTCGAAGGAGTCCTGAGGGCGTCGGAACACGTTTTTGGAATCCAAAACCCACGCCGCGCCGAGGTTCCTGTAGATTTCACGTAGACTTCCTTCTTTCAGAGGTTCTGAGGTTCTTCAATTTCAATTGCGGGGGGTCATGAATCAGGAGTCTACATTAAGGGCTTCTTTGGTGCTTTGGTGTCTCTCTCTCTCGCTCTCTTTTTGGTCACAAAGGCTATTTGCCGGCGAAACGGTCGATTGATTTGGGTTGGTCGCTGACCGTCCGGTCTCTTTGCAGCCCTGCAAAATGGCTGCAGAAGGGCTTTTCAGCCTCTCCAACCTCCACTAGAAAATCCACCCCCGGTCCCACCCTCCAAGCTCTTCACCTTTAGATCCTTTGGTGGAATCTTGCCGAGTGAATTCCAGGACCATCCAGGACCAAACATGCGAGCTGCACACGGACCGGAGCGAGCTTGCTCCACCAGATTATCTGGTGTTTTGGGTATGGCAAATTCCTTCCGATGCCCCCACTGAATGGGTGAAAAACATCAAAAAGGCCCAAAATCATCTGGCCGACCGAACCATATAGATCGTCCGTTCGCTCCGTCCTCCAGCTCCGTCTTCCCTTCGCCTTCCTCCGCCTCTCGGGCGAAGAAAAAACCGCCAAAGGCAGGTGAAGATGGCGCGTGAGCACCGGCTGGAGGCGGGGAATCCCGCCAGGGTTCGTTTTCGCCGCGGTGTGTTTTGGCGAAATCGGGAGATTTTTCGGAGAGATCAGGTGGGTCCCCCCTTTTTTCCGTCCGCGCGGGCGTGTTGCGTGGTGTTCGTCCGCGCCCAACTCGACGGGTCAGTGTGAGATTTTCTGGGTTTTGTGGTGAAGGACATCTTGCACTGGTAGTCTACACTCAAGTGAGGATATATAGGGAAGAGCATTTTTTCTGGTAACACCAAAGAAATGAAACCCGAAGCCAGGCGGCTCGAACAAGGAATGAAAGAGCGAAGACACACATTGATGCGTAGCACACTTGCTCGCAAGACCAAAAGGAAGGATCGAATTCGTCCGAAGGTGACTGCCAGTCTTTGGTGTGCTAGCTGGCATTGGAAACAGAGGTGTGGCAATATGAAAGGTCACCTTCTTTCAGGTCACACCACCCAGCATCACCGCCACAGCCGCAGCCCCCGAGCCCCCCGAGCCCCCGAGCCGAGCCCGAGGCCCTGCCGGTCGTCCTCGGTCGTCCCCTGGCCCGTCCCTCGGTCGTCCGCTGCGCAGGTCATCGACTACTGCGAGGAGTTCACGGGCGCCAACGAGGCGGATCAGCTCCGCGAGGCCTTCGCGCGCGGGCGCCCGGCAGAGACGAGACAAAGGAGTCAGGAGTGAGGAGGGGAGGAGTGGGGAGGAGTGGGGAGGAGTGGGGAGGGGAGTGAAGAGGTGTGTGTGGAGTGGAAGGGGGTTTGAAGTGGAAGGGGTGGGTGAAGTGAGATGGTGGGTGCTGGTGCAGTGTCTTTGGAGAAAACACATATGATGGATCATGGATCAATGAGGTGTAGAAGTCGTAGGGGAAGGAGGGTGTTTGAGTCTTTTAAACCAGGCTCAGACCTTTTGGGTTGTGGCAGTTGTCCACGTGAGTCCAAAGCCTATCAACAGGGCCGTTGTTTGCGGGAATGAAGAGAACTGATGAGCATGCAGCATGCATGAGTTGTTTCACTGAACTGCAGACGACGACTCTTCCAACTGATGTTCATCAATCCATCCCACACCCAAGTGAGGCTCAACAGATGATCTTCAACTCAAGTTCCAAGCCCACAAAGGTTGCCAAAGAACACCCTGAAACACCCTGCCACCCTGCTCCCTCCCAAAGGAACACCCGTCTTCACCGGTCTTCACCGTTCTCCGGACCACCGCCGCGCGCCGTGCGCGCCCAGGTCCGGCCTCGCGGGCCCCGAGGACGCCGCGGCCCGGCCCGAGCGGCCGGAGAAGAGCGTCGGGGAGGCCCAGAGCGGGGCGCGACGAGGGCGGAAGGGACGGGGTGGAAGGGTGGTGAGGTGGAAAAGGGTGGTGAGGTGACCGGGTTTGGATGAGGGTTGAGGGTTGGGTCTCTGGGTTCGTGTGCTCCATTTTTTCAATTCCCACTCTTGCTTTTTTGGGGCACCGTGTTATTTCTTTTTCCTCCCGTGATTGCACTGGACCACTCAAGTGTGCCCCTTTTTGTTGGGGGGTTACCGAAGTGGATTTGAGGGTTCATGTGCCCAGTTGGATGGGTTCACTCCAGATTTGAGGCTTCATCCGTGTTGTTTTTTGATGTTTTTCCATCGAAACGGTGTGTGAACCCGGCACGCGTGAACAGAGTTCAGGAAGGTGTCGGATTCGGATGGGACGGGTTTTCGGTGTTGAAACAGAAACGATTTTGGAACGTGTCTTTGCAGGACCTCGAGGGCTACGCACAAACAACCAACAGAGGTTGTTCTGAACCCTAGGTCGACTATCCCATAGTTCTTCCAGATGACGGGTCCTACAAATCAGGTCACCCAACCTCTCTGAATTTTCAACCTGGTGATGCAGGGCTTGGTGCTGCAGGGCTGTTCCTTTACGACCAACATCGACCTTCTTTAAGTGGCCGGCAAAACGGGCCAACCGATCTGGGGTCCAATGGACACCTCGACTCGGCCTCGGCTTCATTGACATCTTTGGCCTTCTTCAACGCTAATTCCTCCCCTCGGCACCAGACGTCGCTTGCTTCTCGAGGTATGAACAGCTTCCTGCCGAGAGGCTGGGGTTGACCGCCGTGCCCTCTCAGGAGGGGGGAGGGGGGAGATTGAGTGATGCGAACGACATTTTTCTAGAACCTACTTTCGAAATATGGGAAGAAAAACACATGCAATAACTTCTATTTGCTTCGTGACTTCCAGTGGTGAGGGGATATCTTGGGCACTATTGACGTCAAACATAATGATATCAAGAGCTATTGATGCTCTGATCCCTTGTGTAAATGTCAAACATCAATATCAAATATCAATCTGGTGATATACTGCTCACTCTTGATGTCTGATCTTTTCAACATCGAAGACTCAACCGAACCCGAACCCCAAAACCTCCTATATAGTAGAGTGCACCGTGTTTCACCCCGGCCAAGCACAAGACACCGCACCAGACGTGCCACCCCACCGATCCAAGGGATTCGCGACCGACGAACGCCCGGGAGCGGCACCGCAGCGCCACGAAGGTGAGAACCTTTCGAAAGCACTTCTTGCCCCCTAGTCGTCCCCTATTCTCCACGGACAGGCGCATTAAAAAGAAACTGAGCTGCCGTGCATGACTGCTGCGACTGTTCACGTGTTGTTTTAGGGTTCTGACGCTCCGCGAAGGGCCGCAGTTCATCTCTGTTCATTTTAAGTTTCAGCAAAAGAAGCTGAAACGTGATGGTAACACACTGGACAAATTTGAAGAAGGGATGCCATTCGGTGACAAGAAGAGTCTGAGGAGTCTTCGAAGACGGATTGAGACAAACGACACTGTGATGCCCTCTAGTCATGAGGGAGGGCCACTGTAGTTGTCATGAATCTGCAGGATATATATATACACATTATGAAGAATTCTATCCTCTCTATCCGGTGTGAGGGATGGTCAACACCCAGGGGTGAATTCAGAATGGGGGCCGCAACAGTCACCAAACCGTGCACGATGCAGGATTCGAGTAGGGCGTGATTCACGAGCAGGATTCGAATGCCCTACAGGTCAGGGAGTGACCTCATTTCACTGGAGTTGATCAAACACTTCCTCGCTACTCGATGAGGCTGAACCAGGGTCAGACTAGACCTGGGTCGACAGTGCTTCCCTCATCTCAACACGCGGCCCTTGGGCGGGTGCCTTCCCCCAGCCTGTGCCACCTGTGTGTGCTGGGGTTGATTGCAACTTGCAAAGGTGAGGAGCTGCGCTGCCTGCCGTTGGGGAGATGGGATTTGAGGGGCACCCCGCCCTGAAGGGCAGACATGGGCAGACACTAGCAGTCATGCAGCTAGACAGGATCGTTCAACAATTTATGGTCTTTTAAAGGTGACTACAGATTCGGACAGTGTGGAAATCGATCTGAAGGTGCATTGCATTCCCCCAAACCAGCGATGTGGACATACCGCCGAAACCTCCGTCTCCAACCCATCGAAGAATCCAAGCCGCCCAAACAAGCCGCCCAAAAAGCCATCAGGTCGGAGACGACGAAAGGAGAAACTGGTCAGGTCGAGTCGAGTCTTGGCTGGAGTCCAACAGGTCGGTTAGGTCGGTTCCACCCCAACTCCCAGGACCCTCCGGACAGGGAGGTGTGAACCAACATGGGCCCTCCTTAGAGGTGAAGCCGTTCGGAACGGGGCCTCCAGAAATGAAGTGGTTTTGCACGTCTGCTCGCCAAAGACCTGGGAAGAAGGTGTTGCTTTTTCGGAAGGGGGGAAGGAAGGTCGCTGGAACACCCCACAGACTGGGGCGGCACAGACCTTTCGATGGGGTACAGACCTTTCGATGTTCCTTCTCAAACCTTTCCTTTTTCACACAAACATCTAGAAACCCAACTTTAGAACAGGTCGCTCTTCTTTCGCCCAACGCAGCTTTTCGACGACTGCAGCAAGGTATTCAGTGTTGCAAACCTGTTGCTTCTGCGAACATGTTTGGACTTCAGTTTGCAGAACGACGATCTCTCCCCGACTTCCGCGCATCGATCCGGCTCCTCACGGGGCTGGTTGAGTGGCCGCGGAGGCAAGCCCTCCGGTGTCACCCGTGGCCTGTTGATGCGGAGTGCGGTTTCTGGGTTCGAAGGGGTGGTTTCGCTGGTTCCAAGCAGTCGACGCAAACGGAAGAGGAGGAGGAGGAGCAGGAGGAGGAGGAGGAGGAGGAGGAGAAGGAGATAGAAGTGGATTTCTCTTCAGGTTGCTTTTCATTTGAGCATATATAGGAAAGTCCCTGTTCGAAAAGCGGAGGTTCACCAAGCACAAAAAGAGCACCCAGAGGAACTAGCCATTGGAGTTTCTGCACGGAGCATGGCTCACTCAAGACTGGATTCTTTGAGATGTTTCTGCAGAGAGGCAGACGCCCTCCGCATTGACGGCAACCACACTTTGTTCGTTCGATGTGACAATTTGTTCGGAGACTCCCTGCGATGTCCTCTCGCGACTTGTCGCAGTGAAGGATGGCACTCTCTGACAAACACAGAAACCATGTGTTGCAGTGGATTGGGGTGTTAGATAGGACGCCTTTCCGAAAACCAAAAGAGGGGACGAACTCCCTGAAACCTGTGAAGTGCAGGTTCCGGAGTGTCAATGGGCTACATGAACAAACCCAAGCAGGCTTTTTCAGGTATCATGGAAAAAACATTGGAAACAAACACATGAAAGGTCGGTCTGCGTCGCTTTGACCCTCTCATGAACAAACCTTCATGGTCGGTCTCGTCATGGAAAGTTTGGTCTCGGTTGGTCTCGTCGAGGACAGCGGCGAAGGGGAGTTCCGGGTGGTACCTTTTTTTGAGTAACAAGAAACTACTTTGAACAAGGGCATCGCTACTAGTAACAAGGGCATTACTACTACTAGTAGCTAGCAGCTAGAAGCTACTAGTAGCTATTTGCTACTAGTAGTAATGCCCTTGTTACTAGAGAAAAATCATATGGGATCCCTTGCAGGAGAAGGACCTTGGGTTCCTAGCACAGTGGGAAGTTTGAAATGCTGTGTCTCAGCAGTAGAAGAGTTCTTAATTTTCCTTATGAGTTCAAGAGTAGCTAAGCACAACAAGGAACTCCAGACCGCTGGGCTTGACTACTTTTTTGCCCTTTTTAAACCAGTGGGTTCAGGTTTGCAGTCTGATCTGCTGTCAACATGGATGTCCTTGCAGCTAAGCACGAGCGGGGGGTCCCGTTCAACACAGAGGGTGAGGCTAAGACGGCCTCCTCCCAACCAAACTCAAGCGGAGCTTGGTGATGAAAAGTACACCAGCTTGGTATGGGGGAAGATTTGGGATGGTGTAAGAAGGAGATCGTTGGTCTGCCAAACTGAAGGAGATCGCTGTGATACATTCTTTGTCTGGAGTCTGGAGACTACAAAAAAGTCACCTATGGGGCCCTATTGCCCTGAAGCTGTATGGTTCTTTTGCAGCTTCTTCATGCTTCATCCATTGTTCTATGCTCTTCGCATCAACTCCAAAGGGCCCGGCCTTTTAGAGCTCTAAGGGCCTTGCTGCTGTTGATCACTGCAGGATGGGTACAGACCAGACCGCCCAATCTCTCCGTCTCCGTTCGCCCTCGGTGGAGCGATCATCGAGACATCGTGGGACTGACGCCGCGCGCCGCCGCGCGCGCGAGGACAGAGGACGGAGGGTCTTCTGTCATGAGATCTGGCCCTGAAGGGTCTGTGTTTTTCCATGCGACGATGACGAAACAACACAGTAGAACTAGAACCATGGCATTGGTTCTTTTTTCTTTCTTCCGAACGGCAGTTTTTGCAGCGCTGAAACCCCGTTCTTCCAGTTCTGAACCGAGTCTTTTAGGGGCAACAAATGCAAGCCAACCGGAGCAGCTCCTCCTTGGGGTCCTTTTCGGGTCATGGGTCACTCGTCTTCTCGTGCGCCAGACACTCGCCGCCGCTCTGCGATCCACATCGTCCGCACGTCGCAGCGATGTGGCTCGCAGCGGACGAACGCGCTGTCGATGGATGGTGACCGGTTTTTCAGGAGAAGTCCTGTTCGGAACCAGCGGTCTCAGGTCGATGGCGGAGTGGGTGTTTGTGTTCAAGCAGATCAAGTGGGTAAAGAGTGAGCGACACTTCTTCCAAGTTCCAGGAGTTCAGCACCTCTTCCATGCTCGCGTGGCTGTAGCGTCGCGAGCGAGCGAGCTAGCTGCTGCCCCCCTTCACCGGCCGGCGGAGGCGTGTCTGACGAACGGGTGGGTTGGGCGGGACCTTGGGCGAAGACTGTCCCAAAGTCCAAGGAGCTCTCCACCCGGTCTCCCGGGACAGCTGATTTCCGGATCTTGGCGTTAGACTGAAGCGTTCTGACATAGTGGACTGCTGCTAGGGTGGTGTCCGGCCTAGGGGCCTATAGGGGCCTAGGGGCCTAGGGTGGGAGTTCGAATGGACGTGCTTGATGTTTGGTTTTTCCTGTATGGCCAAAAAAGTTCAGAACGAACACAACATATCAGTCAGGTACAGGCTTACAAGGGTTGCCGGTGGGTACCTACAGAGTCCGGTACTAGATAGTATGTGTACCCGCAATTTTTTTTTTTTGGTTTTTTGGACTATACTAAGGTGTATTTCAATTGGTCTCCAGCCGGGAAGTTGCATTGGAGCTGCTTCAAAGGTAGATTTGCAGGTCCAGGCACCGTTTTCCATCGCCCCGATCCTCGACCCGGCGGACCCGACGGGCGACGTCGAGGCGTCATGACTTCGGTGGCCTCCCCGAACGCGCAAAGCTGGAGGGCCCAGGAAGAGGGATGCAGGGGAGTCGACTGCTGCAGCGCCCCAAACAGGGATGCCAGGTACATGGCAGGTGGCGTGGTGCAGGTGCATAGACTCCGTGAAAGAAGCATGGTTGCGTGGATGGCATGGCCTGTGGAGTTAGATCACTTTCCAATATCTTCAATCCCTTTTTGCAGTTCTAGCTTCCTGATTTTGTTTTTTTTACATGAGATTGAAGGGTCTGAATCCCGAAAAACCTCTTGTCTGACTGGCAAAATGACACCGACAGCGATAAATCTGCCATTCAGAGATTCAGAGTGCATCTGTTTACATGCAAACAATTAGAAATATCCATGACACTCCATGTCTGACGTCTGTGCCGCCCCATTCACCCCAGACACAACCACCCCTGACCCCTGATCGGCAGCAGTACTATGTCAGTCCCATGGACGTCGTGGTGTTTGGGATATCGAGGTCGAACACAAATGCGAACGACCTGCCAGTGCCAGGGCCTTCCCAGTGACCGTGCCTTGAGATTTCAAGTGGCTGAGGCCGCCACAGAATGAGGTCACTCGCCAATCCTGAAGAGGTGACTGGGAAGGTCCTGGCCAGGTCAGCAGGTCGTTCTCTTTGGCCCTTTGCTCCCGGCACCTTTGAGTGGTCCGCCAACCAGTCGGACCGGTGGTCTGGTCGCATCAAATTGGTCCGTACTGGATGTTGGACTCCGTCTCGTTTTCGACGTGTTTGAGGAAGCAGTTGTGGGCACATCTCCAAGCTGGGGTGTCTCCAAGCTGGGGTGTTTCTGAAACCAAAACTTGTGGGCGAAAAGTGTGTACTTTGCAGGATACCTTGCGCCACTTTCTGAAACCGATCCTCCAAACTGAAGCCCCTTCAACAGACGGCGACCGTGGGCAACGTCCTTCTCCACGCCGACCACGACCGTGGGTC